TAACGAGTGGCTAAAAAAATGGAACCGATCTATGCGATATATCGCACGTTGTTCTGATACAAAATATGGCGTCCATCGAATCACCTTAAACACTACCGCTTCCATTTTCCGGAAACTTCATTTTCAAGAGTACCGCTCTCCTCGGTAACACGGCAGTATCCGCAAGAGACTCAGTTTCAAACCCCGAGGTACTTTCAAGGGGGCTTCGACTCCCTTAAAAATGAGATATGGAGTCGGTAGCAACCTCCGAAAGTTCCGACACGTGTTGGGAAATGTATGCAAATCTGCAACGCCTGGACGGGTGCGGCGAGGAGCCGTGCAATCTCAACCCCGGTTAATAGCCTTTCGCGTATCGTTTCGCTGTGAGTAAAATCTCGCGGAGCCATCCATCTTTTCGAGAGCTCCGCCGCGTTCGGTATATCCGCTTTAATAATGAGATAGTCGTGAGGAATACCCACTGTTCCTAATGGTAACTCTTACTCACACATGTGTGCATCGAAAGTTCGGGGAACACTTGACCCTTCCGGGAAAAAAAGTTTTCAAATAATGATGCACTTTCCTTGTGCATTCGTTGTAACCGTGAACAATGTTTCAGTCTTAGCTGTGGGTTATATACTCCATGCTCGGAAGAGAAGAAGCGTATTTATGATTTTTATGAGAGGTCAGTCAATAACGCATATGAGCCGCTCCTTACAACGCATTTGTAAAGCAACTGTAGCCCTCGCTTCGATACGATTGAGATGGAATATAGCGACCTCCAGTTTTTCACACACACGCACAAAAAAAAGGGGGAAAAAAGAAAAAAATTCATACTCATGCATTTTACTCGGAGTTTTTCTGAGCAGAAAAGTTACTTTTCTCCACTTCACACACACCAAGTTTGAAGAGGTCTGCCTCGGAGAGTTATATGTTGGATGTTTAGACTGAATAAAACGAGAGGTCAAATCAACTTTATTTTGTGATAAAAAAATCACTATTTCTGGAAACTTTTGGAACCAACATAATGTGTTATTAGTTTTTCATGTGTACAGATGTTTTATGGGTGAGACAAAGATAATGGTTTCTTATTGCGAAATGTAGCCCAAATCTAATGAATTTCTGGACTGTAATATAACTCTACGCCCTCTTATATGAAATATGATATTATTTAAAAATATGAATTAAACCAATAGCAACTCATTATTCAGGACAGCAGCGACGGTTTTCCGGCGAAATTACATTATCCGATTTTTCAACCTAACTCAACAGAAATAGCTCCACTGAAAAGTGTTCCTCCCTTATATTGATTTTGAGTGATTTTCCCTGTTCTTTGATGTTTTAATTTAACGAGATGATATTGCACAATGATAATGAAAGTATTTGCGTGGTGGCAACTGGAAATAGGTCGCCACTCAATATTTTATCAATTTTTTTTTTTTTTTTTTTTTTTTTTTTCCATCTGACATTGAGCATGCGACGACTCGTAACGTCCTGACTTTTTAGTGCTCTAATATTTTAGCCTTGTTTTACCCTTTTATTTAATATTTTATTCTGTTAATGGAATTTCGAGGGAGCTATACAGACCGAAAATTTCCGTCACATACACACATACATTGACGCATTATAGGCACTTCGCTTCAACAATAATTGCTAAAAACAGCAGATAACTCGTTCACGCTTCACCTCGTTTCATTCTGCTAACCCTCGTCCACGTGTCGCGATTAAAATCTAAAAAAGGATAACTAGATTCGTAACTCCTGCTCGCAGTATGTTAAAGGCTCTCAGCTCCATTCAGTTCATTTCCAGTCCGAGATAATTGGACGCAATAGAGCAAGAACGGTTTGCGCACGTAGGAAGAGCACCGCAAATAGGTTGTTTCCCCTTCAATCCGTTCAAACAAATAACTCCGAAGGTTGAGTTTCCAAGAAACGCCCGGGTTCGCTTATGAAGGAGCACCAAGCTCCACGATCCCCCGTGTGTTTTGTTAAATATCGACTTCCGGTTCCGGTTTCCTGAGGAAATTGGCACGCTCCGACAGTCATCGGTGATTTATTTTTTCAGCATCAACCGGACAGGACTCAAAATCAGTGGCGAAGCATGAATGATCGACAATCGATATTTCCCCATTTGAAGCTATGGAGAAGAATCGATTATTAAGGTGTCCGTTGCGACCACACTGTTTATCGATCCTTTTCATGGGTTTAAATGGTAGATCGATCGATGTATCGCTAAGCACGACGTCACGCCTCCACTCACAATATCTCCAGGAGTTGAGATCCGTGTCGGCGAGGAGATCAGCGGAGAATTCCGTCGATTTCATAAAAGTTCCAGATCTTTTTTTCCACTCGACTGCGATTTTGTCGCTCTAATTTATCGCATCGCTCGCGGTCTCCTGGCGCGGAGTTTTGCTTGCGTTTGTTTCTCTCTGTTTTATGATTCTGTTTGTCTCCGGCGGGAAAATGAAAAATTCTTATCGATCCTGACGGGCCGGGGGCAAATTAACCTCAACTCGCACCGTGACGTTCGGACAACAATCTTGGGAGATCATAACGACGCTCCTCTGAACTAAGGGTGTTTCTCTAATTCCACACACAGTTAAAAATTTCCGTGTTTGATGTCACTCCGTGTTACTCTGTGTTGCTTTTTTTATGTCAGGTCAAACTAGAATACTTGGTTCTTCAACACGATTTTGTGTTAAATCGACCCAAACCGTGGACTACTCTTAGACATAGGATCATGAAGGAAGTGGCCTGCCGAACTAATGTACTCTTATTGTCCTCCTGTAATAGGTGAGCTGCGCTGGGGACAGAATCGTGTTTTGATGTTTGATTCTTACAGATCAGCTAAAAATAATAAGACCAATCCAAACAGCAACTCTCTACGTTCAATATTAACCGAGATATCGCCATTTGAAAAGTCAGGTTTTTGACATCATCCACCGCGGTAGTGACACTCTTGATTTCTTCCTCCTTGCTTTCATCCAAGTTTCACGTTGAGAAACCAATGCAAATGTGTGTAACACACACTGAACTCGAAGTCTTGTAGGCGCTAATATGCGTTTCACGCCAACTGACCGACTGCACTGCTTTTGGCGCAATGCGAACAGTATTCATGCTGTCTTGTAGGCGCTAATATGAGGATCACGCCGACCGCACCGTTTGGTGCCATACGTGAAGTATTCCCACAGTCTTGCAGGCGCATTTATCCGAGTTTCACGTTGAGTAACGAGCTAATGTGTGTCACTAATGAAAACAAGGTGGAAGAGACCATGAAAAATTCTTGTCGATCATGACGGACCGGGGGAGAATTAACCTCAACTCGCACCGTGACGTTCGGACAACAATCTTGGGAGATCATAACGTCGCTCCTCTGAACTAAGGATGTTTCTCTATTTTCACACACGGTTAAAAATGGCCGTGTTTGATGTCACTTTGCGCTACTCTGTGTTGTTTTTTTTATGTCAGGTTAACCTAAAGGACTTGGTTGCTCAACACGATTCATCATGAAAAAACACATCGGATGTAGAGTCCAGACTCTTGAAAACATTGACAAGAAAAAATACTCTTGATTTAATCGGATTTTTGCTTGAATCAAAACGAGATCCGCTTAAGTTAAGAGGCTTGGTTCTTGATTTAAGCTAGATTCTGATTGAATCAAGAGTACTTTTTCTTGTCGATGTTTTTAAGAGTCTGGACTTTTTTTTCCAGTGTTTTGTGTCAACCCAAACCGTAGGCTACTCTGAGACATCCGATCATGAAGGAAGTGTCCTGCTGAACTTATGTTCTCTTTTTTTCCTCCCTTAATTCAGAGATCGCGAATTGCGAATGGCTAGCGCATCAGAGTATCACTGATTTGATCTAGGTTCGATCCGGGAGGCTGGCAATTAATTTTTGACGAAGTCGCAGATTTTCAACATAAATATAAGGGAATACCACCGTTTTTTGCTGCTAAAATTTGACTCCGAATTATTTCAAAACATGCACACTGGAAAGAAAACACATTGGATCTAGAGTCCAGACTCTTAAAAACATCGACAAGAAAAAATACTCTTGATTCAATCTGATTTTTTCTTAAATCAAGAACCAAGCCTCTTAATTTAAGCGGATTTTCTTTTGATTTAAGCTTAAATCTGATTGAATCAAGAGTATTTTTTCTTGTCAATGTTTTCAAGAGTCTGGACTGTAGATCCAATGTGTTTTTTTTTTCCCAGTGTATTGATCTACTCTAATGAAAGATAACAGACTTAAGAAGGGCAAATTCGGAAGAGAGCGGCTTGGACGACCAGTAAAATATTGGCGGAATTGGAGAAAGAATTCCACAGGCCGGTTGCCATTGCCTGATGATCTATGAGAAGTTCATTTTCAGTGGCTATTGGGAGTCGTAAAGCGCTGTAGGGCTCTGAGTTAGAGGCTTGATTTATAAATGACGGATTTAACTGATTAGTCGATCGAAAAATTATCAAATCACTCTAGAACAGCGGTTCCTAACCGGTGGTCGCCGAAAATTTTTCGTCCGAAAAGTCAAATTAAAAAACGCTTAAGACCAAACAAAAATATATCAATTTCGTTGGTTTTGTACGGCCTCCTCTCTCAGCGAAAAGGTGGTCTATGGCCAGAAAAGGTTAAGAACCGCTGCTCTAGAAAGCACTGTAGATCCATATTAAGGAACAACCAGGAATACAGCCCTCGGATATAATCATCGCAGCATCGAGTTATGCATTTTCTGCCATATTGCCCTCGCCACTCTATTTTAACTCCAGCTATGCCAAAATTTACTAGTCAGCTGATCAAAATTTGTTAGAGGTTCATATGCACGACTAAAGCAAGCTGACTGCGGCCTCAGTCGATGCGATGCTTCATAATTCGCATCTTAGTTCCTATGATAGAATCACCTGGCGATGCAATGTTCATTAATGCACTGAATGAAACTTACGTAAGCATGTTACTACACAGACAGCATGTTATGTTTAGAGTCGGGTGGGTGACAGGGCTATTCGGCGGACGCCACAAATAACACCGAAGTTGGAGGACACGACACAATTCTTTATTCAAAGGGAGGAAAAACGGTGACGGTTGACAAGGGACATACAAGGTCGGTGAACAGTACGGTAGACGAGAGACAACGACAAGATGGCGGATGCTATGTACAGTGTAGCCAAATCTACATTCACAACATCCTCTCCCCGCTAGGGTAGAAAAAAAAAAAAATTTTTTTACATGTTTAGTCAACAAGAGAATTTCAAAGAATTTACAAATTTTGACAATTATTTTAAATGTAGTTAACAAATAGAATTTCAAGGAATTTATAAATTTTTGACAATTGTTTTAAATGTAAGGTCAACAAGAGAATTTCGAGGAATTAACAAATTCTGACAATTAAAGATCTAAGCGGTCACGCTGTTTCCGGATTCTGCCAGAACGTCGCACTTCTGGGTGCAAGGTTGTTGAACTGGGAACAGATGTAACCGGTCTGTTTTGACAAGACTGCTTTGGGGCACTGGTTTTGGATGATGCCAAATTTGGCTGCAGATGACGCAAAGGACTAGTCACCACATACCGGCGACAACTCTCCTTGTTCACCCAAGAATTTTCAAGTTTAGATGACTCAAGAACTGGTGCCTTATTCTGAAGCGAATCCATTGACAAAGAAGTTACTTTTAACTGATTTACATGTACTAATTTAGTGTTACCATCTAAATTTACTAAATAGGTTGTTGGGCTTACATTTCTAATTATTTTACCTATTTTTGTTTCATGGTTTTTGCTAAATTTTACTAAGACTTTGCAATCAGGTTCCAACTTAACTAATTTTCTAAATGTTTGTCCTTGTGGTTTACATAACGAGAGCGGAATTTGAGGTTTATAATTAAAAATTAATTCAGCTGGGGTTTTTCCTTTTACTGTGGTTGGAGTGTTTCGGTAGTGAAGCAAAAATTCTGATAAAATATTTGTTAAGGAGTATGATTTTTCAACATTTTTAGCGTCCATAATACCTTTCTTTAAAGCACTTTTGATGGTACGTACTGCTCTCTCTGCAGTACCATTGCTTTTCGGATGATACGGTGGCGATTTCGACACCAAAATATTGTTGGCTGTACAGAAGTCTAAAAATTCTGCCGAATCAAACGGCGGGCCATTATCACTTACTATTTCTTTGAGAAGCCCAAAAGTACAAATGTGTGAACTTAACTTAGCTATAACACTTTCAGCAGAAGTAGACTTAACTTGGCAGACATCTAACCAATTTGAATAAGTATCAACTAAGAGAAAGAATGTATTATTATCGAAATAAAAATGATCCACATGGACTCTCTCCCAAGGAGAACTTGTGACGGGCCAGGACACAGATTCACAAGACAAAGGTTTAAAATTTAGTGCTTGGCATGCTTCACAAGATTTGCTAATGCTTTCTATATCTGAGTTTAGGCTTGGCCACCAAACATTTTGCCTTGCCAATAACTTCATCCTAACTATTCCTGGATGCGATTTGTGAAGTAAATTTAAAACGATTTTCTGTAATTTACTGGGGATGACAGCGCGATCACCAAACAAAATGACTTCTTCCTCTAAGGACAAAAATTCCTTAATTTTGAAGAATGGTACAAGATTTTTATCTTCAATAGAGTTAGGCCAACCAATCAACACAAAATTATGCACTTGGCTTAGAAGGGGATCTTCCTGAGTTGCTGTGGCTACAACAGAGCTTGTAACAGGTAAATCAGGCATGATTTCAATGTAAGAATTGATGACTTTTACTTGCTCTTGTTCCAGTGGCAATCTAGAAAGAGCATCAGGGGCGGCTAATAAGGTTGCCTTTCTANATTTTTTTTGAAAATTGGATGAATCCTAGCGTGACGGTGAAATGGTTAATGAAGCGTGAGTAATTGGGGTACGGGTATCGGCCGCGTTGGGACCCAAGGCCCATTGTTCTTCGTGACGCCGACGCAGTGATCAGGAGCGTGGGGACGAGAGGGCTTAGTGGACTCCTGTATGAGCCACGTTTAGCAAATGGTCTAATGAGTCTCGAGGCTCATCACAGATTGCACTTACCACTATCCTGGTGGCCCCGGCTATCAGAGCAAGGAGTACCAACTTTTGAAAAGGATAACAGTGTTGTGGAGATATGTCAAAGCAACGTTGTGAACAAAACGGAGTGAGTGAAATTCTCATTCAAGGAGTGCCGAACTGGTCAGCCATCCTCGAATCAGTTCGCTTGCTTCCGCTTATATATGCATATTTTAAATCAGCGCGCCCCATTCTAAGGTTTTTTTAAAAAAAACCAAGAAACGTAGACTCTTGGTATTCATTACACATAAACTAGCGAGCCCCAGAATGAGAAACAAATTTTAATCATTATTATTGACGGATTAGTAAACTTTTTACACGCTTTGGAAAATCTCAGAAGTTCGCGGTAGTCACTTTTCGGTAAGGAACTAGGGGACTCGGTTATTGTATCGAGGGGGGGTCGAAACGATCGCAAAGGCGGTATACTACGTATACGCGCCAAAAGCAAAAATTAATTAATTTAAATGTAAGTCGAACTGAATAATTTTGCGAATAAATCCTCGTAGGGGCTAGGAATGATTCATGCCACTGAAAAAAAGCAACAAAAAAGACCGTATGTTGGAGTTTGTGTAAAAAAGTCCGATAAATTTCAATTTCTCCAAATCTAAAAATTTGCAGCCATTCTCAAAGTGCATTGTCGAAGTGCTTATTAGGTATGAATTTCACTCAAAGCTCGATAAAATAATTTCATTTCTTAGTCTATGTTATATACTTTAATCAAATTATAAACCACATGAGCCTCTCTGAAGAGAGAAGCTGTTTAAATAACGTCCATGAGTGAGATCTTCGGGTATATCCGGGGTATCCGGGTATATATCGAGTGTATCAGATATATTTATAAATTGAAAACGCCGGGATGCAACTAATCGCTCTTGTTGCATATCAACGGGGAAACTGCACAATGCGTATCCCGGTTGCGATTTTTCGAAATCTCCGCTACTATTTTAATGTTTAAGGGAGACAAAACCAAAATCTTGGCTTAAAGCCTTCACAGAATATTCTTTTAAAGAGATGAAAGCTCACTGAAATGTTCAAAAAATGTTCAATAGTTTTTCGTTTAAAAGAAATAGTATGACAAACAGGGCCGGATTAAGGTGGTGGTCACATGGGCCGCGGCCCATGGCGGCAAAATTTAGGGGGCGGCAAATTTTGGAATCTTTTTGAATGTAGGTATCAAAAAATGAGAGAAAACAATTGGATTCAGAAAATAAATTACGAACGAGAGAAGGCGACAAAATCTCTCATTTCCTTAGAGAAAAAGTACAGCAATTTCTACTTTTGTCGTCTTTCGGTGATACAAGAGACAACACCTTCAATTAGTCGAGTTATGAGAGAAACCAAAGACGCAATTTAACCTGGAACGGAGCGGCGCGGCGGTCGGCATGAGACACATAGCGCCTACAAGACTGCATGAATACTTCACGCATTGCACCAACACAGTGCGGCCGGCGCGGCGGTGGAAGTTAAAAGTTTTAACCACATTTATATTTGTTCTTTCATAATTTTTTCGTTCTTTTTTATAAGTGGAAGGCCTTGTCCAAACAGGGATGGGGTTACGGAACTGAAATTTTGTTAGTGTCGACAGGGTTTTTACAAAAAAATGTGCCCAACATGATTAAACGCGACTTATACACCTCTCCCCCACCGGCACATTCACTTGATGGTTTTTATAGATCGTATTCGACAGATCACACAGGTGAGATGATATTGATATCGATTGGTTCAACATGTAACCAAAGCCTCAAAAGTCAATTTAGAAATCTGAGGTAACGGGTCTTATGTGATCGAATTTTTATTCTCTCCAGTACCAAATGGCAATGAAAAGTGAAATTGTCAGGAATTTTCTCATATTTAGCTCCTCCAAATTAAACCCTAAAATTTTTGTTTGAGGTTATGTTCTATTGTTTTGAACCAAACGATACATCGAACCACTGTCGAATACGATCTAATGATGTTTCAAAACAAATGAGAAGGGGGCGGAAAAATACAGGCGGCCCATGAGCGGCATGTAGGTAAATCCGGCCCTGATGACAGAGACTCTGCATCGCTGCAGACCGAGGTACACATTTATGCAGTTTCACCATTGAAATGCGTGTTGCATATGCAAGCAAGTTGAAGGCGCGTCATCTTTCATCCCCTCGAATCGACTCAACGGTTCTGAAACCACAGAAAAAGCATTCTGCCTCTATTCGTGGTACCTCTATGCATTAACCAAGAAGCAAGATTGGCAAGTTCCGCGAATTTGAAGGGTGAAGCTGAATAACTTTGCAACAGCTCGATCGAACAGTATCAACCGATGTTGGTTCACCACAATACCGATACGTCTGCATCTGAACACACCGTCACAGAGACGCCGCCGAAATTTAGTCAGACATCTTCCCCCGACACCGTCCAACTCGTCTCCCCCAACATAAGAACGTAACTACACTTCGTCTTGAACCCTGTCATCCATATAACTCAATGTTATCCCGGGGTCATCTCCGAGTGCAGTTACGCCCTTTTGCCAGCCGGGCGACGCATTGTAGGTGACTGGAACCGAGACGCTAATGAGGGCTTGCACTTGGCACGAGGCACGGAGGACAGGCTTTGCTGACTTAGGTAATGACATGTCGTCATCTTATCGATCAAAGGCGCTTTGTCGATAGGCCATATTGAATCGATACGGCGGGCAGGCGGGAGGGGGGGCGGGGCAATTAATTGGCTGTGTAACGTGCCTCTGCCGACTGATTAAACGTGCAACGTGAAGGGCTTGAACGATACCAATTAAAGCTTTCGGGAGGGGCGATCCCGGCCTTTGAATCGGCAAGAACTGGAAATTAGGGCGATGACAGACCGAGTTGATTATTGGCATAGTTTGTCGAAGGGTTTGCCTCGCCGGCGAATTCATTAGTTTAATGGGAAAAGTTTTGGATTTTTCAGATGGAACTTCGATTTTGCGGTCGTAGGGGGTTTAAATGAATTTGGATTAGAGTGAATTTTAATCCGTAAATAAATCCAAGAGGGGAGAGGATGGGAAAAGCGTAGACCTTCCTCCTGCTCGCCCGATAAAAGGAAAAGAGAGAACGGAGGATAGAAGAAGGAAGATTGTTTATATGAGGAGCTTGGAGGACAAGGCGCATAAGTACAGTTTTTGCTATCTCAAAAAATAAGTGTTCGAAGTTTCGAAATCACATGGATGGATCCTTATAAAAGAAAGAAAGTTCAAATTGACTAATTGATGCTTAAAAATTGAAATTGGGGAGAAAATTTTTCACAAAATATGCATTAAGACTGGTTTTAATCGCAATCTTTAATATCTCAATTTTTTCAAAAACCGCACTTGTGCACCTTGTCCTCCAAGCCCCTCATATTTGGTAATTGCAGCGCTGGGTCAGAAAGGGTTTTTCTTGGGTATGGAGTCTCAGAATCCACGTTAACTTTTCGTGAACTGTCATTACAGCATATTTATGAAGTTCGTTAGAACTTTTACTGAATTTCCTTCGTAATTTTACAATGCTGAAACGAAAAATTTCAAAAAATTCACCAAATAGTTTACTCTCTAAAATATAAATTAGCAGCGGGGATTCTGGAACACCGCAACTAAGAAAAAACTTTTCTGCGCCCAATACGAGGCCTCAATTATTCATGATAAAACTGACTCAAACTGCATATTAAATACCTTAAAATTTCGAAAATTTTCTAAGGGAAGCCCCCCCCCATAACCCCCTCCCACCCCCTTCGAAGCGTTTGGATCTGCCTATGTTTTAAGCCGATAAAACGGAGCCGTGTTCCCGACAGTCAAACGACAATCTTAATATTTGTTTGGACATAGAGCTCCATGGGAACACTTTAGGTCCAGAAAAATGGCGGTGACTTTGGGATGCGAGGGGGTTGTTACCAACCTTTGACGATTATTGCCTGCTGCACTTGTCGCCAACCTCGCAATGTCAGAGGTCTCGAATGTGATGCATGAAATTGGTCATAAAACTGAGTTTATACTTTCAACTACATAAAATCGTCAAATGACGTGCTGTGCGATATTTGACGACAAAAACTTTCAGACTTTGAAGGGGAATTCAACACACTGAGATAATACTACATCGTGAAGGGCACTAAAATCAATCAATTCAGTAGTCTTTTTGATACAAGCAGACTTATTTATTTTAACTGACAGAAATTTTAAACTGAAAAAATGAGTCGAGTTTAAAGTTGCGTACTGTTTTGTCTATGCTCTACGTATAATTTTGTTTAGAAATTATGTATACTAACTCTTAAGTTTTTATCACGTCGAACTAGTCTATTGCCACTGTCATTCAAAATTATTAATTTTAGAGTATTTTCGAACAAAGCAAAGTTTTACGTGACAGATCATGTGGCGCTGATGTTGACCGGTGATGCCTCATGGCGAACAGGATAGGGTTTAACCGCGGGGCTCCCCTCAGGGCTTGTGCCTTATTCAATTTGGCCTCCGGCGATGATTTCCCTCGGGCCATTCCCAGCTATTTCACGCGTTGCATTATACATTTTAATACTGTGGGTTTTTATCAAATTCTCGCTGCGGTTATTTTTGGGTTCATCTTCGGTGTCAAAATGAGGAACTGACGGTGTGCTCACTCTGAAATTGATATTTTTAACCCGAATTCAACTTGAGGCAAATCATATGAAGAGAAAAAGAAATAAATTATTTTTCCGAAACAATGAAGACGTGGCAATGGTCTGAGACATGTGACAAAGGAGAAAACACGGGTGATCGAAGCCAAAACATAGCCCTGTCAA